TAACAGCAAATAAATTACGTTCTAAGGGGTGGCCCAAACAGTCATCCTCGCTTCAGATTTCCACACTTTTCACACAGGGTGCTTCAATTGTTATTGTACCATTTACCTTGCTGCTCGGTGTGCGATATAGTTCTTGTACTGTTGCAGACTAACCAACACAAGTGAAGGTCGAAACCGTACGAACCGGACCCTGCACTCAGACGTACTCAGTGCATGTAGGGTGCATTATGAACACGGACGTATAGGCATATTAAAAAAAACTTGGACTTGCGACGCCTTTGTATGAAACTTCAGGCAACCAGCGGCCATTTTACCGAGCCGAATACAAATGCGCGGGTTGGCTTGCTTCTATTGACGCCACTGGGATCGGGAAGGAGAACAAAGGCGGGCATTGCCGGGCAAGCTTTGTATTCGGCTCGGTACTAATGCCACTAGTGGATTGAGAGACCTCTAGAGCTGATTGAGGACATTGGGAGTCCCCATATACTGTACGTCCGGGATTATGAACAGGGATTTACACTGCAATGGAAGGATGTATTCATGAATAGGGCCTACTTATAGGTGGTAGACTGTATTGAATGCGGGCTGATGTATCATTCGGCTGTAAACTTAATTATATTAGAATATGGCAGTTGATCATTGCAGGCCTTTCATTCGTAAAGAGGTCACCACCGGCGGTAGCCATACACCCTATGGAGTTCAGGGTTTAAAGAGCACCTCTAAGGAAAACATCTTTTCTCTGATTTTATCTGTTCAAATAAACATGGAAGCATCCAAATCGGACGCAGTGTCATTTGTCTTCAGAGCTCAACGATAACAAGTTAAAAAGGTTTTTTTTTTCTGTTCATGCCGAGATGCGAATTTTGAATGTAGATTGCGTCATTCGGAGAAAACAGCGAAAACGAGGGAAACCCTAGCCCTCTGTTCGTAGGTACCCGTTGTTTGGCATGCACACTGGCAGCCTTGGGACTTTACCAATTACGAACACAAGGCGGGGATTCCTCTCGTTTTCTCTGTGTTCTCCGATTGACGCATAGACATTCAGAATTTGCATCTTGACATGAACAAAAGAATGTCCTTTTAAGCTTGTAATAGTTGAACTCTGAAGACAAAGGACACTGCGTTCGATTTGGATGCTTCCATATTTATTTGAACAGATAAAATCAGAGAAAACATGTTTACCTTAGGGGTACTATTTACTAGGTACAATGGCGAGGCAGCCAACGCTCGCCTTTGTATTTGACACATTGAAACGGCCGCCAGTGGCTTCATCGGTGCAAAGCATTTTGCGAGTCCAAAGTTTTATGACGTCCCTGGTTGTGTGCCAAGGAAAGAAAAAATGCGTCGTCAGCCCACTAGGCACGCAACAGGTCACCAGAAGCCTGACTCGTCCATGAAGTATGAGCCCTCGGCCTCAGCCGAACTCAGTGTGGAAGTCTTCATTCAAAACGTCGATGTACACGTACATCTATACTGTATATGTTTTTCGTGTTTGCTCAGGTGGCGATACGTCGCTAAGAAATTAGTTTGACGTTTAGCTCGTCAAACTTCACAGCTCCCTTTCTCAACGTGGCACGGTATTGGAACTTCAGTAGGGCAGGGCCTAGAGGATGGTTTTCTCACAAATGAGGAAAGTCGTGAATTCTTGGAGCATCACAATGATCGTCGCATTCTACTTTGCAATCGTTTGGAACCGAAAGAGGAAGATCGATAGGTCTGAATGTCCTCCGGCTGCAATTAGCCTTGAAAAGTTTCCAACAATAAGCTTTTCTATTCACCGTGATGCATCATGAACAAGGAGGGTTTTCTGAACAAATCCCCTTGGATGGAGCCAAAGCAAAACAATAAAGAAAAAGATTAATCGGAAAACAGCAAGTTAATCGGATTAATGGGACACGAGTCGTCATAATCAGAGAAAACTACTTTCACCATATAGGCCTGTTGAAGAAGATTACGCATGAGCTCTTGCTCAACATGTACAAGCAAATGGGGTTAGCCTTTATTCATTTTATTTATATTTATTTAAATCTTTTCAGGGTAACTATTCTAACACAAGGCTCACCGTTTAAGGGCCCTCATTTGAAACCAACGTCAACTAAAAAGTGAGAAAATACCGAATAGATTTCCCCAATATATACTGGGACTGTTTACGCTGCATGAGAAAAGACAAACTGTGCAATTAGTTTACAGGAAGATTACTGGCCGCCGAGTTAATAGAGATTTGAGTGATTTTTCTGAGACATCGCAGAAAATGTGCTCTATGAAAAACACAAGTCAGTCAGCGATCTCCGATATATGCCACAGAGTCCCGCTCAGAAAAAGTCGACTATTTGCAAACTCAAGCAAAAAATCGCGTCACTGCATGCCACTAGTTTTTCATCGCCGCCGCTATGGCTGGGTTCGACTCGTCTTTGTAAATTGGAAGTTACTCTCCACGTGTACTGTCAGATATGATGAGGACCAGGGTTGAAGCTTCGCAGGTCGGATCTCTTATGCGTCTTAGATCCATATACATGTACATGTACTAGTATCAAGCCGCGCACTCAGTGCAGAGGACTAGCATGTGAAATGCAATCCACAGCTACCGCCTCCGAAAACACCTTGCCAACTCGTTCTCCCATGCTTGACGGTGAATAATCAGGCAGTCTTTTCTTTGACCCATTTTGTCCGAATGCCAACATTTGTTCTGAAAAAAAGCATTGGTCCAGATCGCTCCCAGAAAGTCTCTCAAAGATATTGTTGGTGGAAACAAGATAGCGTCTTCTAAACGGTGGCTAAAATCAACAATAAAGACGCCGGACGGGGGGTCACACGCTTATTTCTGCCATGCGCCGCTAACGCTGCCCACCGGGTACATGGACCACCACCTTGAGAGAAGGCTATATACCTGTACACAATTATGCATATTAGCACTCTAACATCGGACCATATCCTCACCCCCTGACCTTGTCTCTACGCAGAGTGACCGACTACAAAGGAGCACGTCATGCGCGTTTTGTGCGTGAGGCCAAAGCACAAGGAATGTGGAACGCCACATGTACCAAAATACGATGTTACTCTGTGAAGTGGTTTGATCGTGTCCTCAATCTATAATGTGATTTTATCAAACCATTCTGTGATGTTGTCAATCCATCGTGAAGTTGTTAATCCATTATGTGAAGTTTTCAATCCATTATGTAAAATCTTCAATTCATTATTTGAAGTTGTCAAATCATTCTGTGAAGTTCTCAATCCATTTTGTGACGTTCTCAATGCATCACGCGGAGAGCTATCTCTTTAGATAACCCATGTTGAGTTATGTGAAGTAGTCAATACATTACGTGAAGTTGTCAGCAAATTATGTGGTGTAGTCAAAGAATTCTAAGTCCTGTGGTCAGTTCCGAGCGATCCCGTTTTATTGTTGGTGTCAAATTGCGAGATGTTACGTGTGGGATATGGTTTCTAAGTTTGGCCAGTGCGCGTTGTAGTAACTTTAGTTCTGAGTTAATTGTCATGTGGTGTCTCGACCATCATGGAGCCCATCTTGAACAGTTTGGATTTGTCACACCTATTACCGGAGTTTTTTAGGAAAAACGTAAGTGACTTCAATATTGATTGCTAATAATTATTTTAAAAGTAATGAAACACAATGTGCTAAACAACATGTATAAGGCCTAGTGTTAAACACCTAATGCGCAGCGCCAGTTTAGAGGAGCTGCATAGACTACTTTTATATTCGCCTCATTCCGCAGGTATATCAAAATTAGTATGACGTGTCTCC